GATAATCTCAGAAGAAAAGCACTAAAATTAAAGAAGACTGGGAAAAGCTTCTTGTAGAAGGTGAGATTTTAGCTGGACTTAAAGGAAACCAAGGGATCCAGGAGATGAGAATAGAGAGTATCCATTTGTGGAGGGATGAGAAGTAACTGAAAATTCCAGGAGACTAGAGACTGAGTGTTTTGTCGAGGAGGACAGGATCGCTGTATCAGAACATGTAGGAGGAGGGAAGAAATAAGGTATAAAGAGACTAGCAAGTTAGGAGAGGGCCAGGTTATGAATAACTTTAAATGCCAAAATAAGAATTTTATATTTGACCCTAGAAGTGATAAAGAGCCACTGGAGTTTATTGAATAGTAGGTGACACAATCAGACTTTTCACTTTAGGAAGATCAACATGACCACTGAATGGAGGATACACTGGAGGAGGGAGAGACTTGAGGCAAGGAAACTATCCAGCAGGCTATTGCAATAGTCCAGGTGTGAGATCATGACGGTCTTCACCAAACTATTCAAAATATCTCCACTAGTCTATAGGATTGTAGCGTATTAGTATCTGTTTCCCCACAGTTCCATCATTATTGAATTTCATCATTTTATGTTACATTTACTATTTTGATAAGTGTAAAATGACATCTTTGTCTTAGTCTGTACTTCTCTGATTATTAAAGATTTTGAACATCTTTTCATGTAGTTATTAATTTGTATTTCCTCTTTCAAAAAGTTGTCAGTTCATGCCTTTTTAACCTTTGTTCTGTTTAGGACTAACTATTCAGACCTTCATTTACTGTAAATTTGCTTTTCCATTCCATTTCTTCTCTTTTCATTTTATATATATCTTTTTGTTGTGTAAGTTGCCTTGACTTTTTTTAAAATTGTATTGATATCTTTTGTTTTTATATCACCTTTATTTTTTAATATATCCATACCCCTTCTCCTATGCAAAGAGCTATCCCTTATAATAAAATACAAGTTCAGTGGAATCAATCAACATGTCTGTCAAATCCAACAACTTATGCAGTGTTTTATATCCATAGCCACTTGTCTCTACAAAGAAGGGAGAAAACATGTTCTTTCTCTTCTTCAGGGTCAGGCTTTCTTCATTAGTGTCTTTCTGTTTCCATTTATATTGTTGGAGTCATTGTACATGTATATTGGTTTGCCTTATGCGCTTCCTTCACTCTGCAAGAGTTCATCTCTCCCCATTCCACTGTGTGTTCTTCATATTCATTCATTTTACAGTGTGGCAATATTTCATCATATTCAATTATCACAATTTGAACATTTCCCAAGCAATGGGCATTAACTTTGTTTATATTCTTTTGCTAAAATCATATCCAACAGATATGATCTATAGTTGAACTCACCAAATCACTTCCACTTGAAAATTTGGGAGGAAGGAGTACTAATAAATACATGAAGAAATAGAGTGATATGCAGATATATACATACATATATCAGCTTTAAAAAATTATTAAGGAAAAAATTATGTGACCCTTGTCACATAACAAAATTTTGAACTTAAGGTATTTGTGAATTAAGTTACAAATTCACTTTAAGGAATAATACTTCTTTATCAAACTTGAATAATTGGAGAGTATAACACTATGACCTTATACTTGTGATACTGGCCTGCTTCTACTGACATCCAAGCTCCCCATGCCTTTTTCAGTAGAATCCATAGCAATGTTACTCACCAGATCCAAGGGTATGTAAATATTTCTGCACAATATCTGTATTTTTTAAAGAAAAGCCAATAAGACAGCAGATTTTAATAAGCAGAAATTCTTTTACCAGTAATCTTATAAGAGCATCTCCATTCTGTTAAAGAATTTGTTTAATGTTCAATGACAAATAATTTTTGGAGGGAGGGTAATATTCTCATTCAGCAAATATTTATTGAGTACCTACTACATGCAAAGGATTATATTAAATGTCAGGAGGGTACAATGATGAACAACATGGTCCTTGATTTCAAAGAAGTTATATTTTAGTTGGTGAGAAAAGATAAGTTGACAAAGAACTAGAAGGTGAATCAGAATAAAGTAAGTGCATAGGGTATGTACTATAGACCTGCAGGAGTACATAATCTAGCTTGTGAGATGGCAGGAAAATAAGTTACTTAAATACAAGTTTGAATGTGAAAAAATACCGTAAGAGAGCACTATGGAAATTTAGACAAAGAAGACATCAGTTTCAGCAGGAGGTTGTCAACCAGCCCCAACAGGCTTGTGGATGGCCAGAATCAAACAGAGCAGCCTAGAGACAGGAGAGTCAGGAAACAAATAGAAGTTTAATTTCAAAGTGAAGGAAACGGCTTGCAAGCAAGGAGAGGATCTAGACACATGTGCAGGGACCTGCTTTAGTGTGGCTAAACCTTGATACTTATACCAGAGGCTATGCAGTGATCTGTAGCCCTGATAATGAGGGGATAACAGCAACAACAAGACAAGTTTGATTCATAGCCAGATTTCATGAACGGAACATGTCCAAGCTTGTCCAGTGCTTGTCTGAGCTCAGAGAACACTTGGTGCTGGTCAAAGCAATACAATAATTATATGATTTTGATGGAGAGTGAGCTCATCCAGAGGGTGAATGCAAAGGATTGTTGTTATACCAAGCTCAGGGCACAGCTTGCTTTCTGGGCCTTCGCTCTGGAAAACAGGGTGTCTCCTAATTTCTTGAAAGGTAAAAGGAAAGAACACTGTATTAAGATCCAGAAGACACAAGTTTTCGTCCTGACTCTATCAGTAATTAACTGTGTGACCATTGGGCCTCATTTTTTCTGTGACATAAGTAAAATAAGATCTATAATTTCATTGGACTAAATGATCTTTAAGGTCCCTTCCAACTCTAAATTCGCTGAGACTAGAGGGAGTACTCTAATGCTATTCCATCAAACTCTGGTCTCTTAAACTTTTTTAATGAGACTTGGATGAAGACACAGCTGGCACACTTAACAAAATGATGAATAAAATGAAGCTAAGATGGATAACAACTTTGTTTGATTGACTCAGGATCCAAAAAGATTGTAATGAAGGACCACATCAAATGATGGAATTTTAATGGGACAAATGCAGTGTACTGCAGTTGGATTCAAGTTATCTGTTTCATAAATTTAAGGTTGAGGAGATGTGGCTAGGTAGTAGGAAATAAGATTAAGGGGTGCCTGAAAGTGTTCTTAGATTGTATTAATAAAAACAGGTTGTTAACTAAATGGAAATAATAGTCTACTGTACTCTACGCTTATCTGACCACACCTGCAATACAGTGTTTGATTCTGGGAACAGCATACACTAATAATAACTGACATCTGTGTCACACTTTTAAAGTTGTGAAGCATAAATAAATGAATTTTATATTTAAATAAATCATTTCAACTGAGCCTTACAACAATTTTTAAGACAGATACTACAGGTGTTATTTTACATCCTCTTTACTTCTTAGTATGAAAATCCATACTATCTTCTGCTGCCTGATTAATCTAAGGATCATGGAATCCTAAATTTCAAAGGGACATCAGAAATAATATGGTCCTATATTCTACTTGATACATGAACATTCCTGCAAAGAGGCAATCTAGCCTTTACTTGAATAATTCCATTGGGAAGTTTTACAATCTGGAAACTGAAACTCTGAAAAGTTAAGTGACTTGCTCATCTTCACACAGCTAGCGTCAGAAGCAGCATTTGAACCCAGATCTTGTTAACTCTCAGTTCGGCACACAATCCTCATTATTCCATATTAATCCTCATTTTGAAAGGGACCCTAATAAACTGGAGTGTACATAAAAGGTGACCAGGATGGTGAGGGAATTCAAAATAATGTTATATGGAGAACTGTTGAAAAACATGTGGCTGTTTAGCCTGGAAAGAAAACACTGAATGGTATCTGTCTTCAAATATTTGAAGGGCTATGATGTGGAAGAGGTATTAGCTTTATTCTATGAAGACCCAAAGGATAGAATTAAGGTCAGTGATAGAAACAAAAGCAGGGAGGTAGATTTGGGCTTAAATACGGAAGATCTTCCTAACATTTAGAGCTCTCCAAAAATAGAATGTTATTCTGTGAGGTATTAATGTTCTACATTGATGGAGTTGTTCAAGCAAAAGCCAGATGACCTGTTTCCAAGGATATTTATGCATTGAGTAAAATGTAGAACTATATTATTTCTGATGTTCCTTTGATGTCTAAGATTCTGTGACCCTTAGATTAATCAGACAACAGAAAGATAGTATAGATTTTCATACTAAAATGTAAACAGAAATAAACAGAGCAAATAGAAGACTGTTAAGTAAATATTCTTGGTTAAGAGGTAATAAGGGCTTTATCTAGTGGTAGTAGTAATAAGGACTAGACAAAGAGAATCTATAGGACTGATTGGATGTGGAAGATGAGAGAAGGAAAAGTCAAAGATGATCCTAGGTGACTGGAGGGATGGTAGGAAGGAGGAGGAGGAGAATTATTGGAGGCAAGGGGTAAAGAGTTCCATCTGAGGCATGTCAATCTTGAGGTACAGTTGGGATATCAAGGTGGGTCTCTCAAGCATGCAATTAGCATTGGAAGTCTTTGGGTTTCAAAAAAAGATAAAAAGCTTAACTGTGGATTTCGGAGTAATCAGCATAGAGGTGATATGAAATTTTAGGCATCAATGGGATTTAAAAAGGGGGAGGTGGGACAGAATATGTCAAAAGTCTGTACCTTTTTTGGTGTCATGGCCTATTTTGCCAGTCTGGTGAAGCCTATGGGCCCCTTCTCAGAAAATGTTTTTAAATTAATAAAATATATAGGATTACAAATAGGATTTTAGTGATACTGAAATACAATTAACAAAATATTTTTTAAAACAAGTGCACAGACCCCAGGTTAAGAACCCTGATGCAGAAAAAGGAGTACTAGAAAAAGAATTTTGAGAAGAGAATGAAATTAGGGGTAAGGAGTTAGCCATGGAAAGGAGGTAACCTTCTTCTGTTCTATTTCACTAATTTTTCTTTCTTTCTTAGAATATGATGAGCCTCCACATAGCAGGGCAGGACAAGACATAGTTTTGCAGCTGCCTACGGACTGGGTGACTTTGGATGGCCGAGAAAGCACGGATGACCATGCAATCATTAAATATGAATGGACTTTGCAGCAGGGTGACTCATCATTGGATATGAAGGTAATATAGACTGTATAGCTGCAGTTCCTGACCAAAATTGAATTCTGGTATTGTTTGGTCTGGTTAATCTGCCTCTCATTGTCATCCTGCTCCTGTTCTTGTGCTGACTAAAGTCAACAAAAGTGGGTATTAAGATTCACTCAGCAAAATCAGCATGCTATACACAAAATTAACTTTTGTACTGATTAATCAATAATATAGAAGATTTGCATTTCTAAAAATTGGAGGATTCCCTATCAGTTATTATAGTATCCAGTCCTAAGTGTCCGCATTGTGAGACCTATTTTTCCTTTGACCTCTTATTTAAGAAAAATGTAGCCTCACCAATCCTACTTCTACCTTTACAGAAAATGGAGTATGGCATCCCTTGCATTGAGTCATAGAGTCACTAAGCAGACTTAAAAGCAACATCTAGTAATCCAACTCTTTCATTTTATAAATGGGGAAACTGAGACCCAGAACATGTAAGCTGTTGAACAAGGTCATTTGACCAAGTCAATTGCCTCATGCCAATTTGTATAACTACAATTCCAGCGATTGCATGGTTATAATCCCAAGGAATGCAGGAGATACAAGTACAAGAAAACTAGGCCTTTTCCCAGAGCTTAACCCAGAAAAACCTAAAGGATAACAGCTTTAAAGCTGGAGTGGAAAGAATTTAGTGCAATCCCCTTAACTTTCAGATTAGGTAATTGAGGCCCAGAGAGAGTAAATGGCTTGTTTTACTTGTCACATCACAGAGCCACAATTTGAACGTAGGCTCTATTTCTCCAAATTCAGTGCTCTTTAACTACCAAACAATCTGAAGAAGTTCCACTATTCAAGCTATATTTAATATCAGGTTAAAAAAAGTAGGGCTTTGGGGCAGCTGGGTGGCGCAGTGGATAGAGCATCAGCCCTGAAGTCAGGAGGACCAGAGTTCAAATCTGGTCTCAGACCAAACACTTGACGCCTACTAACTGTGTGACCCTGGGCAAGTCTCTTAACCCCAATTGCCTGAAAAAAAAAAAGTAGGGCTTTATCAATCCCCTCTGATTCTGGGTCAAGAGTTTCCTTGATAATCAAAAGGCTCTTGCCATTCCCTTTGTGACTCTGGTAAAGACTGATGAAATGCTATAGTGACATCAAGCATTGTTTCCCATAACATAGAGGATTTAAAGAGGCTTTTACTAAAGCAGGTTAGGGACATGTGAATATCCTTAGGGCTAAAAGAGCACCTCTTTTCCAGACATGTCACCCTCCTTCCCCTCTTTTCCATCAGAGATTCTTCAGGAAAGACATTCCTCAAGGAGAACTAGACTCAAAATTATAGGAATGAAAACCTCATTTTTGACCTGCTCTTTAATGATAGAGTGAGTGGGAGCTTTTTCTCTTGATTCATTATAAATCTTGGATGAATCCTGGCAACTTCTGGTCAGAATCCAGACCCACACCCCATGCCAAAAGATGGCGCCTATCCATGCAATCCTAGACAGCTTTCTATGCCAACTTTACTGATCCCCAGCAAATGCCAATTGGCTAGCCATGTAGGGAATAAATTATACCTAGTCCAGTCAACTGCACTTTTCTCAGCCAAACCTGTATTGGGGGACTTCATAATTAATGATTCTGGTAGTGATTAAATGACCACCCCATGAGTGCCACACCTCAGGTTCTAGTCTCTAAGCAATTAGATTCCTGAGGCTCAAAATGTTTGTTTGTGTAGTTTCAGTGTACTCCCATCCCTCAGTTCTCTCATATACAAAATTAAATGTCACAGAGTTATGTGGGCTCCGATGGTTAAATAATCCAATTTCTCAATAGATTCTCCTAGAAATAATCAAGAAGACTTAGATATTTTCCTTTCATGTTGTAAGGCATGAACTTGGCTGGAGATATACCAGTTACCATTCTTATCTTCAACTACTCATAGTCCCTTAGGAAACAACCACTAAAATAGAACCCTTCCCCATTAATGTGAAATCTATATTTTGGAAGAGTATTGAACCTGCCATTCGATATGTATTTTATATATTTTTGTATATTTTATATAAATTTTATGTATTTTATATATCCTTATGTTCTTGCTAAATTGGACTACTGCTATTCTCTGACCTGATCCTTGCCTTTCACACCACCATATTGGCTCACACCATATCCTATGCATGGAATTCCCTTCCTCCCCTTCTCATTCTCTACATCCTTCTCCACCTTCCATCTTTACCTAATCAAAACCTACTCATCCTTCAAGGCCCAAATCAAATGAAACCTCTTCCATGAAGCTTCCCTTTACCTTTATAGTCAAAAGCAATTTCTGCCTTCTCAGATTTTTTTCATAAAACTTTGTACTTCTCCATGTGCTTTTATTCTATTCTGAATACTGTTATTTTATTATTATGTGCATCCTATTTTCCCTAGCAAGTTGTATGCTTTTTGAAGATAAGCTCTATTTCTTACATATCTTTGCATCCCCAATATAATGTCTTGAACATAGTAGTTGTCCAATAAATGAATAAATATTTGTTTGCTAAATTTGTATCATAGGAAAGAAAAAACAGGATCACATAGGGTACAACAAATATCCATCTGGTGTGACATGCAAATCTCTGAGGTAGGCACTTGTCGGTTGCAAAGCTTAGTTAAGAAGTGATAGTATGCAAGTCACTTAACCCCAATTGCCTCACCAAAAAAAAAAAAGTGATAGTTTAGAAGAAGGAATAAGACATTGATACCAGTGATAGTGCCCATTATTACGTGATAAGCACATTAGAATGACAAAACATATCCAGTGCTACAGATGTTGGCATCTGAACTGCACTTATTCACAATGGTCTTTTTTCTTATGCTCCCTTGGACCAGTGCAAGGAGAGATAGTTAAGTGTCCCATGAAATGATGGTTTTGATGCCCTTGGGCACAAGGTAAAAACATCTCCATCAATTCCTTTATTGACCTCTCCATGAGAACCTTTAAGTAGTCCTTCTACTTAACTGTAACTTCTTTTCATCTTCTAGTTTCATTTATAGTGGAAATGCCACATATTGGGATTCTTACCTCTTTTTGTGACATGGATCCCTTTGGCAGGCTAGTGAAGCCTATGGACCGATTCTCAGAATGTTTTAAAATCCATAATATAAAATATATAAGATTACAAAGGAAACTCATATTTAAATATTGTTATCAAAAAATATTTTAAGTTCACAGACCCTAGGTTAAGAATTCCTGATAGCATGCCGTTGATAGTTGGACAGAGACTTCACATTTAGTGTTCTAACAGTTAGGTGGATAAATAGGGACAATCTAAAAATATCTTCTCCAGCACCCTCTCTCTGCCTACTCTTCTGCCACTCTGCTATCATCGCTGTGGAAGTGCAGAATAGAAGCACATTTTGTATTTTTATTTGTTTTGTGGGATGTCATCATCTTATGGCCAACTTGTTTTCAACCAGACTAGCCATTCTTAGCCAGAGCAGGTACAGTTTTAACTGGAACTGTACTTAAAGTTCTTTCAGGCTGGTACAACCTGCCAGGGCTTGTACTAACTGGCATAGACTTTGAGAACCCAGGTCCACCTCTATACCATGCTGAAGCTTCTGATCATGCCTCTTAATGGAGGCAGTAAGACGCAATAGGAGTATGAGTTGGGGCCAAAAGACTCCAGATGAAGTGAAGATATACCTGCTATAACTCTTAACAGTAACACTTCCCAAGCTCTGAAGAAATATACTCTGGAAAATTAGGAGCAGCTTGTGGAAGGGTGGGGAGGAAAGAAAGAAACCTTCCCCACAGGGTTTCTTCCTTCTTTTCTCTTCCTCTGCCACCAACATACCCCAGATACCCACCCAAGGCAATCTAAATCTCCCCTTACCTGAGCTGGGCGCTGGCAAATCTTTGAGTACCTGCCTACTTCAAGGAATTGTGAAACTAAAGTGAGAGAATGCATATAAAGTGCTTTACAAACTTCAAAGGGAAGTAAATAAATGTCACTTTTTATTACTAAAAGTAATATTAAGTGAAGTAATGAATACATGTATAGTTTTACAAAGACATAGCCATACTCTTCACCTCAATCTTCTTCATCTTTTATTTGGAGCCCTATTCCTACCCCTGACTCAGCTTTAGGCAATTTCTATCTTTAGGTGAAAAATGGAGGCCTAACCTAAGACCAGTGCTATAGCAGACGAAGCTCTGAACTTGAAGTCAAAAGACAAGAATTTAAAACCTGGTTTTGAATGACTGGTTCTATGACTTTGGACGAGTCATTTAACCTTTCTTAACCTCCATTCCCTTTAGTAACACACAAAAGTTTAGTCTAGGGCAGCTAAGTAGTACAGTCGAAAGAGTGTTGGGCCTGGAGTCAGGAAGACCTGAGTTCAAATACAGCCTCAGACACTTCATAGCTATGACCCTAGGCAAGTCACTTAACCAGTCTGCCTCAGTTTCCTTATCTGTAAAATCAGGATAATAATAGCACCTACTTCCCAGAGTTGTTGAGATCATAATTAGCTTAGCGCAGTGCCTGGCACATAGTAAGCACTCTATAAATGTTAACTATCCTTATTTTTATTATCATTGTCACTATTATTAGAACTTTAGGAGTTCTTCACTTAGGGTCCATGATATTTGGGGTTTTTTCATATTATGATAACTGCATTTCATTATAACTGGTTTGCTTTGTAATCCTATGTATTTTATTTTATGTATTTAAAATACTATTCTGAGTCAGGTTCCACTGGACTCACCAGACTGCCACAGGCATCCATGACACCAAAAAGGATTGAGAACCTCAAAAGAGAATTTGTCTAAGGTTCCTTCAATTTGTAAAGTTCTATGACTCAACTCTAAATAGCTGTGGCATCTTAAAGTCCTATAAAAGCCTGAAGCTTGGAACCAGCCCTGTGCTCAGGACTGACTCCCTTTCTCTTCCACTTTCAAATCTGGCACCCCTTCTGACACCTTTCCCCAAGTTGCGACTCTGGGTACCTTAGGCCAACCCTTCTATTAGCACTCCCACCTTTCCTGG